GCTTTTTGTTTGCGGAAGTATCTATCTGAAATACATTTTCAGTTTAAGAAAATGTTAACTTCCCTAGTCCCAAGCTGTTGGGGAGGTTGATCTGGAGAGTGCCCCACTGGGTCAGTTAAATGACACCGATCTGAGACTGAGTGGTTGCACCATTCATGGAGAACCAAGCCATATTAGTTTTGTTTTCTTTTTGAGATATTTTCTACCTGAACCTGATTATTATGGTAAGTATCTCATAAATGTTTTAATAATATGGAATGGCCTGACTTAATGCCCTAACTACACTACAAATTTGTGGTGAACTGACTGCCTGTGAGATAATGGCTGTTTAGCAATTGTAAATTCAACACTTTAGTACCATGAAAAAGGTTCTTTTGACAGTACCATCAAGTCTACCACCTCTATTGGCAAAGAGTATTTCCTGCTTGAAATACAAGCAGTTTCTTATCCCTATTGGGTGAGACACTCCATAGGATTTCCCTCTCTGATGATGTTTTCATAATGTAGCTTATCTTTGTAATTTCTTTATTTGCACCGGCCCATTCATCATCTTCGCAATGTGGAATTCTTACTTTTTGTTGTGCAGAGAAGTGAGTAAATGTTTCTTAAGCTTACATTTTCCTTACCTGAAAATGTGTTTCAGATAATTTCTCAACTCTACACAACCTCCTCCTTTTCTTCCCCAGTTCCAATGCATTTATTTTGCCCATCAAGAATGAGCCTTTGTTCAGTGCTAATATTCATGGAAACATAGAAGATGTTTTGCCCTCCTATTGGTGAAGAGCTATAGTCTAAAGATGATTACATCATAGGCTAGCACAATAGACATTAGTAAATTTAGGGATGAGAGTTTTGTTCAATGCTCATGGCATGCACAATATCTTCACAGCTGCAGTCTGAGGTAACTATCTGAAGTATATTTACAGGTAAGGAAAATGTTAACTTTGGTCCATCTGGGTTTTTTGATCAATATGGTTAAATATACACTTCATACACATCCTTTGGCATTCAAAGTCTTGGAATCTTGTGTTAACACTTAAATGCATAACATGGATCACAAATGACCCATCCCTCCCATTACTGGCTTAAAGCTGATGATGAAATTTGTTTGGTTGGACCATCCTTTTTCAATTTCTCAGTTGAGACTTTTCATTGAATTTAACATGGCTATATAATCGAAAAATGTAAAAACTTGAACACTGTAAATGGGATTTGAAAAGAAAAAAAATGCATAGGAAGTATATTATGTACAGTATGTACCATATGTTTGTCAGACTTTAGAAATAATTATTGTAAAGGTAAATAATATGTTGATAGATGCTCTGCAAAGATGTGGAATACAGAAACAACATCAAGAGCACACTGAAAGTATGTAAAATATGTGAATTTCAAAATGCAAAAGATGTTCACTGTGCCCTACCTCAAAGGACCAAAAAACTATTTCCCTATCTGCTCTGAACATTCAAAAACAACAAAAATAGCTGTATGTGATAACTGCAGTAAATATTTAGCCAAACATTTTGTAATATAATTTATTGACTTGACGTTCTGTTATTTTTTTCATCAAAGACATTTCCCATTATTTTTTTTCTTCTATTTTTCCAACTAAAATGTCTGAATTACTCGTTGTTAGTCAAAAATATGTTTTATTTTATTTCATAACAAAGTTTTGTTTAATTTTGTTTTAGTTCTTTTTTTTCTTAATTGGGTCAAATGTGACCCACATTATGCATTAATATATGTAAAATTTAAGGGTTAATATTATTCTGTCTTTCACATCTACTGCCAAAGACATCCTTTTTGCTTTGGGGATGATGGCCTCACTTCCCAATGTCATTTCCTTGAGATACACTCATGTTTCACTTTCAGTGAGACATTGCTTCTCAGTGAAGTTTGACTTCAGACCTGTTGTCAGTCTTTTCAGTTTTCACCATTTCAAAGATGCCTTTGTCAAGAGTTGGTGCATTGTTTTCAGGAATCAACATCTTAGAACAGGTCTGTTTCTTCCCCTTGTTCACCACCATTCTATGTTAGTTCACACAGCCAATTCTACTGTAGTATCTTACATCAGTAATCAGAGTGTTACATTTGTTTCTCTACTTCTACTTCTTTGGCTGTTTTTTCAACATATTCACTTTCAAATCTGTCACATTCCTGATATGATGAAAATTTTGGTCAACTCTTTCTCAGGGTCATTGCCTTCTTCCCATAGAATGGACCCTCCACCCTTTGTTGTTTTTTTTTAGTGGATTTGCAAATGTCTCGGTGGGTCAGTGATAAATGTCTTTGTTATTTCAACCAACCATCTTGTTCCACCTTACCTGTCTCTAGTTTCAGATTGAAAATCTCTGACAATAGATACCTTGAGTGAGTTTTGAGAGAACCTCTCTTCCTTTATGCCTACCCTTCACACCACTTCTTCATCATGTTCTAACAAAAATTAATTATTCAAAGAGCCAAGTTCTCCTCATTACTCAACCTTGGCTTGATAAGCTATGATTTTCCCTATTACATCACCTTTCTCATTGAAAACCCAGCCCGTTAACACCACAAAATATTCTTCCAAGATGACCTCAAACTTCCATAGGTGGCTTGAATTGTTAATCCATTCTTGCAGACACTTCTCTAGCTGTTTATCAGACTTGTTGGACTATCTTCTGGAGTCATTGGATCATACATATTATATTTTGTTTATCTTCAACCCCTCAACAGATTGCTTCTTTTTTTTACTTATTTAGTTTACAACCATGGCTTATTAGTTTTTTTTTCCATAGCTGGTTTCATTTTGATTCTAAAAATGCATTTTTAATCATAAATTTTCTCTTCTACCTTGTGTATACTAATGAATAATGATAATAAGTTATACTAGAAAAATTACACAAAAGATAATAAACTAAAAACTTTATCCAATTCATGCACCTAACTGTTTCAACTCACTAAAAAAAATTTTTTTCTTTTACTTCATCAGAAAATGTTCAAGAAATAGATCAGATGTTGTAAATTTAAATAACCAACAATTGTTTTCTAAACTTTCTTGCTAGAAGCTGTTGTCTTATTTGTTTTGAATTGAGTACATCCTTTCAATAAGTGTGGGACTATATATAACAATTAGAATTTCTTTAACAACTCTGTATTTTGAACTGTTAAATTTGACATGGAAGTTCTTTTTATGGAAATATAATACATATATATGCTTTATTTCATAAAATAAAGCAAGAGGTAAAAAATTCAGGCAGAGCATAAAATGAAAAGTACAAAAAATTGCAAACACCTTGCAAATTAACAACCTAGCGCACTTCTCCCCTCCCAGTTATTTTGTGCTAAGGGATGCTTAATTATAATGACAAGAAGTTCACAGACTGAGAAAGAAAAGTGCCAATTTAAAAATCTATATATTAAACTGTTCTCACACAACTTTTAATGAAAAGGTACTAAGGAGAAAACAATTTTTGTTTCATTGTTCTATTCTAACCTTACCATGCTCTAGTTGTTATCATATTGACTGTCAGTGCTCTCTTCAATCCCAATGAGATATTATACCCTGATCAATCTAAGACTTCCCACATTTTTTTTTCTCAACACTCTATCAAATGCCTTTTGAAGAACCAATAATGCCATAAACTTATCTTTGTTTCATTCCCAGGATTTTTCCATCATACTTTTGAGAACATATATCGGATTCATTGTGCTTCTCTCTCTAGTCTGAAATCATATTACCACTTTCCAAGTTCTTGCTCTTCATATTCTCGCAGTCTTCCTTCCAGAACTATTTCATATAGTTCCTACAATCATGCCTATTCCCACGATTAAAAATAGGGCATATTATGGCCTTAATCCATTCTTGTCGAATCTTTCCAGTTCTCCATGCTACAACAAATAATTCAAGAATTCTGCAAAGTGTCACGCTCTTTTTTTTGAACAATTGTAGAGTTAATTCATCCCATTCTGGAGCCTTACCATTTTTCATTAGGTTCAGAGTTCTTTTAATTTCTTCTAGTGCAATTTCTTCATTTCCAAGATCATTTTTATCTAATTTATTAATTTGGTCTACCCCCATACCCTCATCTCCACCTTTAACTACATTTAAAAGTGCCAAAAAATGTTCTTTCCATCTTTCATCTATGTCTTTGGGATCTGTTATTAAATTACTATCAACATCTTTAATTGTAATGGGTTGTTTTCACTACATCTCCTGTACCCCTTTTTGCTAAACGGTATACAAGTTTTTTACCATTTCCATAATCTGCTTGCAGTTTTTCTCCATATTTCCATACTCTTCTCTTGGCTGCTCTCTTTATACACTGATTCTCTTCTAGCTCTCCCATATTCTCTCCATATCTCTACTGTTTTATGCATTTTTTCCTCTTTCCTCCAATATATTTAACACCTATGACTTTTACCTCTGCTGCTGATATTACTAGGTCCTTTATATTTTCCCATATTGTTTAAATGTTACCATTTAAATTTCTGTTCTGCAAATGATCTGTGCTTAAGTTTTCACTTACTATATTGAAATTATTTTATCTTATTTGTATTCAGTTGTTTGATTTATAACCTTTTAAGTTTATGAGCTTGTAAATATTTATGTCTTATTTTCACTATACACACTACTAACCTTTGGTCTGAGTTCAGTGGGACTGGTGGTACACTCTTAATATCTGTGATCTTGTATTTGATGCTAACAATAAATCGGTAAATAGACTTACTAGAGTAACAATTACCTATCCTGCACCATCTATACCAAGTCCATTTGTGGGCACCTTTATGTTTCAAAAATATTTATAACTGATAGATTATTCCTCATGCAAAACTCTATAGTTCTTTCTCCCTCTGGTCTCTTATCACCCAAATTGAAAGCTCTAATAACATTAGTGATTCCATTTCTTTCACAACCGATATGTCCATTTAGATTGCCCATAGTTATTTTGTTCTTTCCACAATTAATTAAATCATATATATATGTTTCAGAATATCATAAAACATACATTTTTTTTTTGCAGCACATGGGACTTACATTGGAAGAACTCATTTGGAAGCTAATAAACCAACCCAGCTTCCAGTTGGAACCTTATTCCATTTTGGTGCATCAACTCGTTCATATATATTACGAGAAAGACCTGAGAAAACATCCCGATCAGCAATAGATGGACAAGAAAAGAAAGGAGAAGATATTGAAGGTGGCCTCCTGGGTCTACCTGAAACAGAAACTGAATTAGATGTAAACATGCTATTCTGTTTATTTTCACTAACTAGAACATTTATATAGTATCAAAGAAACTTGAATGTTTCAGTGTAATCTTTAAACTGGTTACTCGTAGCTGTATGAAGTAATGAAATCCATAGTTTCCATAGTTGGTATCATTGTAGAGTCATGGCTTCTCACATCTGTAAGGAGTCTTAGACTAGGTTTCTTATATTTAAATTTGCAGCTGTTGGTTTTCATGACTATATAATTTTTTTTTTCTAAAATCCATTATATGAAAATCAACATCACCCGTGTTTAGGAGTAGACTAGAGTTGGGTTCATTCATAATGTGACTGCTCACAAAGCTTCTTAGTTGGGGTTCAGTCACAAATATGACTTTTTTCATATTAGCTACTGATATACCTACATACAGTTGTGTTGGGTTATAAACAATTATTATTATATGAGTTTAGCCATAAACACTACTCTGTCAGTTTTTTTATCACAGATATGCCTTCTCACACTTTAGTATAGTCACAGACATGCTTACGTACAATTTGGTTTGGCGTAGATACATGCCTACTCACAGTTCAGTTTAGTTACAGACAAGGCTTCCCACTGTTGAGTATATTTGCAGACATGTCTACTCACACTTTAGTATAGTCACAGACATGCTTACATACAATTTGGTTTGGCATAGATACATGCCTACTCACAGTTCAGTTTAGTTACAGACAAGGTTTCCCACTGTTGAGTATATTTGCAGACATGTCTACTCACAGTTCAGTTTAGTTACAGACAAGGTTTCCCACTGTTGAGTATATTTGCAGACATGTCTACTCACACTTTAGTATAGTCACAGACATGCTTACATACAATTTGGTTTGGCATAGATACATGCCTACTCACAGTTCAGTTTAGTTACAGACAAGGTTTCCCACTGTTGAGTATATTTGCAGACATGTCTACTCACACTTTGGTTTAATTATACACAAGACTTATCCTAGATGGATTTATTCACATAAATTTCTTCTTACAGCTTTATTTAATTAGAGACAAAGTTTTCCACAGTTTGATTTAATTATTATAGTTAGGGGATTTTTAATCGTTTAATTCTCTTACAAACACAAGTCTTAAAACATACTCAAGTGAGTATGATTTTTCAGTGAATACAGATTATCAACAATAGGTATTTGTGCTATAAATTCTGTACCAAATAAAACTGCTTCCTTTGATTTATATAGATCATGAAATAATTTTTCTGGTGGTACTAACAGAATCTTACAGAATTCAACACTGCCCACAACAGAAGGATATCTATGTTGGGGATTCCTGATGAAGAAATTAAACCACCTAACAGGAAAAGAAAAAGTCTGTTGGTAAAGTTTAATGAAGATGAAGAAATTATAAATCCTGGTAAGCAACATATAATAGGAATAGCTCTAATGTAATAGTTGGCATTGTATGGTGAAGTACACTAAAAGTTTTGTAACAATGAATCTGTTTTTTCAGAATGATTTTTTGTTTTAAGTGTAGCAACAAATTTTTGAAAATATTCAAATTACTTTATCTCTGAACTAGTTATTTTGTAGAATAAGTACAATGAAGGTTTTAAGTCATTTCTATTCATTATTAGAAGCATTTGATTTACTTCAAAATACAAGCTATGAAACCTAACTTTCAAGCAACTCCTTTACAATGTAGTAGTTTACTTGAAAACTGCAGCAGAATTCTTCATTATTGCTTGAATTATTTGAACATTATTGATACAGTTTTCTTTTCCTGCACAGAGGATGTGGATCCATCTATTGGAAGATTCAGGAACCTTATCCAAACAGCTGTCATACCCCATAAAGTAAGTTGAGTATCTAAAGTTCACAAAAAAACTGCTATGGTGTTGTTATTTCACAGCTCAAAAATTTGAGAAAACTAACACCACAAACAAATCTTAACTAAAAGATAAGTTTTATATTCGAAGTGATGTTTTTGGCAGAAACACCCTTCTTCACATAAGTGTAAACCAAAATAAAGCAAAAAGTAGCAGAAATTCTTAATGTGCAATGATAACTAAGAACAATTTTAAGAAATATTATTTTCTTGGCACTTGTATATGATGTTAAAATGATAAATGAACAACACAACCTTAAAATTAATACACAATTAAAAACATTTTTAAAATGTGGACTACATGTTTCTGAAGATGACGTGATAAACGTTGAGTCTACATTTTAGAAATTTTTTAATTGTGTATCAATTTTAACATTTTTTGTTTGTTATTTATTTATTATTTTAATTCTAATGAAGCCTGTGCATGATTTAAATACATGTCAAATTAACTGGATATTGTTGTAAAATAAAAACTAAAGTGAAAGTGATGCATTGTTGAGCAACAGTGTTGGATGACTTTAATCCTGTGCTAAAAGAATAATTTGATAGTTTATCCCTCTAATGATGAAAATAAAGCAAGTTACAATAAATATACATAAAAGAGAATCTGTCATTCATTTAAAATAAAGTTTATATCCACTATTGCAAAAACAACAGCAAACTTATATGAATTATGGATGTAGTTTTCAACAGTCTCAAGTGTCCTGTGCAGTCCAACTTTTTCAAACAAAAATTGGGATGAAGAGGGTACATGAAAGTGTCAAACTTGTATCCATATAACTTTGTTGGTGTTTCTAAAATTGTATTTTAGATTACATTAATTGTTTTTGGGTAGTGCCAAGTCAATAAATTAATTAATTTTTATTTTCTTTCAATGGCAATGTATAACAGACAGCCATTATTCTGAAATGGCTGATATTGTAATAATGCTGGTTGAAACATTTTGACATGTTCTTCTCTATATCAGTATTTTGGATGCTGTGATGTTCATATGCTCATTCTGCTAGCATACAGCCAGTTTCTCCTATGTAAAATTGGTCACAGTATAGGTAAGTAATGCTGAAAATTAAACACTTGGGTGTACAGCTGAATGAGTTTTTTGGTTTTATGAGTAGAGTTAGATTTTACTGTTAAAGTGCTAGTTTCACTACAGTGGTATATAATTCACCTGGAATATTATGTACCAATTGCATGTTGGTAGTATTCTTAATTTACACATGAACTAATACATCTTTTAGGTTCTGTCATGTTGATATGAAACTATGGGTTTATCTTAGACTATTCTCTTCTGAGTTGTTGCCTTTTTGAAGTACACCCAATTTATTTTGTTTTTCATTGTGATAAAAACCTGAATATTTTGTGGATATGTCAAACCATCAGTACATTTTCTCTTTCTTTGAAGTGTTGTGTTATAATAGATTTCCGACGAGGTTCCTTACTTCCAGTCATATGCATAGCTGCCCTCTATTTCCAAAAGTTTTTTCACATTGTACAAGCCTTTCACTCCCATGCACCCTTCAATTCACATGGTTTAACTGATTCTCGCATGCAAACTTACATGTGACAAACCTCCACCAATAGTAGCGCCACACAACCACGTAGCTCATGGAACTCCCTCAGTGCTATTCTTTGTTAACTATCACTTCTCGTTTGGCAGTGCTTGTATTCAGATGTTTAGTTTGTGCTCTCTTCAAGTTTTTTTGCATCAGTACATTTTGTCTTTCTTTGAAGTGGCATGCTATAGCAGATTTCCGACAAGATACCTTACTTTTGCTCATATGCATAGTGCTGCCACCTATTTCCAAAAGTTTTTTCACATTCTACAAGCCTTTCACTCCCATGCACCCCTCAATTCACATAGTTTAACTGATTCTCGTATGCAAACTATCATGCGAAAGACCTCCACCAATGGAACCGCCACAAAATCACATGACTAATGTGATGCCCTCTATGCAATTCTATCTGACTATCACTTCTTGTTTGGCACTGCTTGTATTCAAGCATTTAATTTGTGCTCTCCTCAAGTTTTTTTTAACCTATCAGCTGCTATGGTCCTCATATTAGGTACTGAGTGCGACAGATCTCGTATGACGTTCAGAATTCTGCAGCCTATAATTCAAATGCTTGTCAAATTTTTCAGCCATACAGAGTCCCATAAGTCACGTCTTGCTTCCTTCTGTCCACCCACACTCTCCCCAGTGCTCAGTTGCATTTCATACATCCTGGAGGGTGCATATGTCTCTTTCTCTGATAGTGAGCCTGTACTGTCAACTTCTCATGGTACTGGTGGTGCAAGGAAGAAAATTATTGCAAAGAAAAGACAGCCTGTGAAGAGAAAGATAGAAAAACAATTTATAAGCAATAGTAAGGAAGATGTGGTCATGACACCAAACACCCACCACCACCTACACATCCATGCTAGTATGCCTCACCCTCTGCAGACTTCGGATCAGTATGCTTTAGTCTACCATCATTCTGATTTTCCATTCCTTGATTCTCAGCACCTAGAATCAATTTTTACCTATTTTTAGGATTGGACCCTGATTATCCTGTTTGTTTATCCCACGCCAAATTTTCTCACCTTCATCTTACCCCCACATCTATCCTACAGTACTTGTCCACCATCCACCTCCTCTCTGAGGTGATCCACCAAGATCATGAGGATTTTTTTGGGGGGGGGGGATACATTCTCCCTACTCACATCCACATTGGCATGTTTGTCGAATTCGACTCTTTATTTACGCACGTGGTTCCTTTTTTGTTGGGATCATTTGGGTAGAGATGGGGTTTTGTCCTAAGTTCATTTGCCACTTACTTATCTTAGGAACTTCCACTTGGCCCCTTTTCACCATGTATTGGTATTTGGAGATCTTCTGGCAACTTTGGAATCCAGAGTGGAATCAGTGAGACAACAATCAACTCTTTTCTCATTGGTTGATCGTTTGTCTTGCTCTGAACCTCAACCTATTTCTGTCTCCCATCTTAATCTTTCTCATCCTTTACCTGTTCCTTCCCCCTGGGGTTTTCCTCTCATTGTTTGATTTGATGTAGAATGTCATGCTGCCAACAGTATCAATGACTACCCTGTAGGTTCTGGTCCAATGGGGACTTGTCTATCCAAGTTTGTTCCTCTATGGTGGGAGTTTGCCAAGAATCTCTGGGTTCTTCATATTTTATCTGAGGGACTTGTCATCAACTTCCTCTCCCCTCTCCC